TACCTTAGTTTTCTTATGACCCTGCCAGCAGTGCATTGCAGGAACGTAAGTAATGTGACTCACTAAGAAATCGTGGAACATCGTAAACTGTCCTACCTGAGGACACCTCGAAAGTAGGATACCTTGGTCCTTCCACTTATTTCTTTCCTCCTGGTGATAAGCCGGATCATGCCAGTCGTTTTTACTGTGATCTTGTTTATGATCTGCCCGCCCCTTAGGACTATTAGCCTCTGTCAAGAACTCTGGTGACCTCTACCTCGGGGATGGAATGATCAGAGCCGGTGCGAAGCTTTATATTGACGACCAAAAGGGGGACCCAGCTCGCAGGTTTGACGCTGCTTCGGTGGGTCTGCACAACAAATATTTCTATATGGTCGCAGAGGTTCAGAGTCGAGTGCCATTAAGGAAAGCCTCGGTGTATTTTATAGTCTGTTGGAGTGCCTTTTCTACTATGCCCTCACTGTCACCTGTACACCAGTGATGGCGTCGGCTAAAAGACGAGGAGGTAGAGGAAGGAAAGGCAGGAAGGTCAACCAGGCGAGCGTCCGATTCCTTGTTATCCTACACCGGGGCAAGAAGATTGAGGGATCAAAAGAGAGATGTGAAGACAAGAATGCAGAAAAAAAAAAACAAAAACACGTGAGCTCAAACTAGGCTGCTGCGTTCGATAGTAGTGGACTCGTGACTTTAGGCATATCCCGTTCCTATGTCTATAGATAATGGGCTCATGGTGCCTACTGAAAGCTTCCAAGCACTGGACGCAGAACGTCCAGTACCCGTTGTACGGCCTCGATTTGAGCCTGTCGACGAACACTCAAAGTTTGTCTAACAGAGTTTGAACAACTGTTTAGATCAGCCTGTCTTCTGGCAATGCCGAGGTGCTCATGTAAAAGAGAGAGAGAGAGAATAAAGTGAGGAAAATTCCGGAAGGTTTACCATAAATTGGAGCATCCGGTTTGCTACCCTGCACTAAGGGAAGGGAGAATGGGGAAGAAAGATGGGCCCTCTACTGTGCCTGTGCCCTCTACTTGCGAGTACCTCTTGGAAAACCAATGGAGAGGAATATACAATAAAAATGCTGTGGCCACGGAATTTTAGCGTACCTTAAGAACCAAGAACGAAGGATGCCCTATCTTAATCCTTTCTTAATGATGTCCTTTTTGGTTTTAGGAAAGAACAAGATGAATGCGTGTAATCTATGCCCCAAACAAGAACTAGAGAAGGAGTTGAAAATGCACGCATGAGAGATAGTGTGAAAGGTTTTCTCCAGATCAAGTATTAGGATTGCCCCGAAATCTCTCGTTTGAACGTCGATAATCGAGCCTTTGATGTGGCATCCTGGGTTGATAATGCTGGTCGGAAACCAATAATGTTATACGGAAAGTGAACATCCTCTTCAATGTGTTGAGTGATGCGGTTGTTAACGACGTGTTTGGCTACCTTCCCCATACATGATGTATGCAACATGGGTCTTACATTTATTTTTATTTATTTATTGATATTGCAGTCTCAAGCAGAGACTATAGCAGGTGTGAATTAATAATACATGGTATTCATAAATATGCACAATAGCTTACAAAGGAACTACATGAAGTAAAAAAGGAACAAGAAATGGAATGAACTTAAACAGCAAATAGGAACTGTAAAATGCAAAAGTACAATAAAGTGAAATAAACACAAAAGAGAATAAAAATTTGAAGCAGAAAATTTGTCATATATACTATCGAATTGTGGAAGATTGTGCGATAAATAGGAATGAACAATAAACTTAGAAATATATTCAACGGTGCTAACGATCTATACTGCAAGTATTTTTCAGACAAAGAAAGCGAGTCTCGTGTTACCATATTGTCGGTTAGGTTATTCCAATCAATAATAGTTGTAGTGAAAAAGAGTATTGAAAACGGCTACTCCTAAGAATTAAAGACGTCGTAAAAGAATGTCTTCGCCTGAAGACTCCGTGGACGTTCTGGTTTTAAGATAAAAGTGAGTGACGCCAGTTTTTTACGATTCCAGGATGGTGCCTTGTTAATCAGTCAGAAAAGTGAATTATTTGGAAATTTCCTACTAAGCACACTGAAACAATTCCAAAAACAAAAGAGTAACAGCTCATACTTCGTGATACACAAAGGACATGATAAAACAGAAACAAACAAAAATAATTTAATTCCTAGACAGATCTATTCCACAAAAATTAAACGCCACAATTAATCCCTACCTTCATGTTTTTGATAAAAAACACATATGGGAGAAACACTAGCGCCACTGTGCGTTATTTTTTTCAGCCAGTATAGATCACTTGTACGCCAAAGCCCGACTCAGGTGAATCAGTACCTTCAGTGGTAATGTCTGAGGGACTGGAGGGGCTCAAGCAATAAATGTGGGGCGAATAAATGTTCCGGGCAATTATTTGATGAATTGCTGGCACCACCGTGCGATAACGTCATTAGATAAACTGGGAAGCCAGACCTCGGAATCGGCTTCTCTGAATTGGAGAACCTGGAAACGTACAGGGACGTTGGGTTCGCGTGTAGTAAATGGTACGTGGTCCGTCTGCGAACGTGCCTAAGTACTTGCTGAAAAAACAAAACAAGTGGGCTACTTCTTGAATTGTTTAAGAATACCCTGTATTAGTACATTAGCAGTCGCTGGAGTGCACAGTTATGTCAAAGGGCTAACCATACGGGTCAGAAATGGGAAAGAGCTGCGCTGATTGTGCGCCAATTTCATAGCGCATCTCTCTTCAGCAAATTACTTTCGCCAACCATAGCGAAAACTATTTACATGCTCTTTAAGAAAACAAAAACAAAAACTATGTTGGATGGATATATCAGTTTCAAGAGGCCTTTCTATTGTGTGAACTGGTGGAAGTGTTACCGAAATAAATCTACATTAAAAAAAAAAAACGTCTGTAAAAAAAGTAAAATACCCGCGTTGACCTAGCACCCGATTTACCTTCGGTATAATATTACAAGGAATTCCAAGGTATTGGCAATTTTTTTCCACAATTTAATAACGGTTAACCATGACTTAACATAAATTACCAGCTTACCAATCTTACAAAACATGACTTATATGACTTACCAAACTTACCAACAACTAAACGGTATTGACATTTCGCCAACTATGCAGGTGGTATATGCCGTATGCACTGGTACAACTCATGAGAAGTTTACCAGTTCTCTAATCACATACGTCCTTGTAAACGTCCGGTAGGGCACCACGGTTGATATTGCACGCTGTCTTGACGTATTAGCATGAAACACCAATTGTGGCCACCTGCCTAGTGGCAAAATGTCTGTATCCTTTTGATGTCACTAGTTTTTATGTTATGTCTGAGTTACCCTCTTCTCGCGAATTTCTTCGCTTCTTGAGCCTTGCCACCCCCCCCCCCCCCCTACAGAAAGGGTTCAAGGCACGGTGGTACCGTGGGTCAACTGTGGATTAAAGTTGCCGATTCCAGACCCTATCGTAAATAGTGTCGTACAATTATATGCACCATATTGCCACCTGTTATTGACTTGCAGAGTTGCTGGGTTCACTCTGTTTCGAAACGCCAGTATGGCGGAATGTCATAAGCAATGTCCGGTTTAATATCTATCAGAGTGGCAAGATATAGTCAGGCGATCACTGAACCTTTAGTAGTGTCCCACCAAGGCAATGTCTAACAATTCCGCCTCGAGTAAGCCAAATATACCAAACGAAACCTAACGGACAGTCTATGATAAATCTCAGCTTATATTCACGGGACGTTGCTTCGTGCATTTATAACACTGTACAGCGATGCCATCAACTTCCTGGACCTCTCAATTTTTGCTCCATACCGTTCTTGCAAAGTATGTCCTGTTCTTTGGCACGTAGACTATCCCGCTCCAGACAGTAAAGAAGATTACACGCATCGAATGACCCGTCCGGTGTCACGGGTCACCGATTTTCCGGAAGGGCTTAGGTCGAAACCTTCGCTTTCGTTAACTATCACCGTTCGCATCCTCTGGATGGCTAACACGCGCGTGCACAGCGTCGTAAGGGCCAGGCGAGAAAGAAAAACACGATTACACCTGCATCGAAGCCGGCTCCGTTGTCGACTGCCCTCTTTTTTTTTCTTTCCATACTTCCTCGCGCAATGCTGCAGTGTTATATAGTCGACGCTTATATATTGCGCCTCGCGCTTCGTGCGTAAGTGCCTGGTGGTTGCGGGTAGGTTTATAGCAGATCTTCCTTCTCTTCCTTCCCTTCTTAGGGTCTCGGAAATAACGGCGAAAGTCGGTGGTAAGTGAGCCGACTTGAGACGGCCAAAGAAGGGGGGGGGGTAGGTAGCCCACTGCGTGGGGTGGTGAGGCTACTACGGAGGAGTGTGGTGATCATGTGACCCTGCTCGTTCCAATGGGAGCGGCTCGTGCCACCCCCCCCCCACCCTCTGAACGATAGGCAAAGAGTCTCTCCATGGCGGAAACGGGCCGACTCGAAGGCGGCGTCGCCCCTCCGAAAATTGGGTCATCGTTACAGCGGCGTGGAATCAGTAAAGAAAAGCGAAACCGAACCGAAAGGAGAACAGAAAATGAGAAAGAAGGTGAAAGGGAGGAAGAAATGCACTAGCGAATAGAAGCAAAACGAAGAAAAAAAAAAGTCTTGAGAAGGCTTCGAAAGATCCTGGGGAAAGAAGGGGGGGGGGTTTTAAAGAAGGCAGAAAGAAAAGATGGTGGAAGAGGGTTGGACCTGACTCGAGGAAAAACAGTTCCCACAGTATACTAGGCCGAAGAGAGCCGTGTGCGGGAGCACAACTTGCCCACATACGCACCATCGTCGCTTTCGGACGAGGCTTACGTTCGACCAAGAAGTAGTGATCGAGAGGGAAAGGGAGAGGGAGATAGAGAGAGAGGGCCCAATAGAGACAAGAACGTTTCTGTTCTGTTTTGCTTCTTCTTCTGGGTGGTCTTATTTTATTCGCAGTAGCTTGTGCATTTTTACTTCGATTTGTGGTTTAGGAGCGCGCACAGGAGTGCCCTCAGATGCTTCCAGGAGCACAGTAGAAGACAAGCGCTCGCGAGACTGCCGCTTTCACGCTTGTCTCCCCGCTGAAGAGCTGCTCACTTCTCATCAGCCAAGAAATAGACACGTTATTCGGAAGGTTCCACTCGTGCAAGTTGTAGGCGGTGGTGAGAGGCCTTTCAGCTACGAGCGACTTTTGCGTGGTCTCGTGACTGTTCCTGGGGCAATCTTCGTGGGCTGTCGACGGCTAAAATAGACAAGAGAGAGAGAGAGAGAAAAAAGTGTACGGTTCTCAAATAGCAGCCTATCTTGCAAGACTATCGGCTGATCCTTTCTTCTGAGCCCGGCGCAAGACATCAGACGTCGGAGGACTAAGCGACCAGACTTCATCCCCGCAAGAGGACCTTCTCCAACTGCAGAGTTCCAGCGGTGGGAAAACGTAGGGCAAACCAAGTTGCGGGTTGTACAAGTGGTGTGATTGGCTTTCTGTTTCTCTTCAGTGTGCGGAAGGCAGTTTTCCAGTGTGAGCCATTCAAGGATTACGTGTCTGTGGTGAGACTACGCTTGTATTCGCCAGGTTCGCTGGCGTGGTGTGCTCAGCAGCAAAGGCTTCCGGGAAGCCACCCACGGGTCGAACCTGTGTCACCTCTTAGTTACGATGGCTTCTGTGGTCCGTGTATCAGAGAGCATCGCCATGATCTTCGTCTGCACCCTCGTACTGATGGGTAAGTTTCGGAATGCCCGTTACTGTTCTACTATGGTGCTTTCGCTGCAATCAGGATTCACGATATAGATCACTGCGTGACGCACTTCTTCGCTGTCCGAAAAGCCCGTTGATGTTGTCAATGTAGTTCAATCTCAGTTTGTTAACGGAGTTCTTCTGGTCTGTCTCGCCGTCAGAAGCTACGGCTCGTGTACGACCAACATAATCTCTTATTCCTTTAGGCAGCGATAACACCTGCGCTAAAAAAGTAACACTTCCTTGTGCGGGGCATATCAGTTTTCCTTTACCGACCTCAATATCGAATGCCCGCTCCGTCGTTATCTTCGCGCCACATCTCTGGCGGAAATAGATTTCCACAGATACTGTATTTGGAGTATACCCTGTACACAGTTGAGGTAAGACGCTGCGGTAACAAAGTCTTTTTTTTTGTCGAGACGTCAGATGTTGCACGAGGAGTCATTTGCGTTACGTTTGTTAGAATAGAAGTAAATGCATCGAAAGGGAGCGGATGCTTTATAGATACTGGCCTAGATGAATGACATACTGGCCACGTTCAGTTGCACGTCTTTCATCTGGTGACCAAAGATAAGAAATAGTGGCTTCTATGAGCAGTGATGAACGGATGTTTGAATTGACGTAAGAACCTTCACACAGTATTTACTCAGTACTCGTTGATGATAATGACAGACAATATCAAGTCTATAAAATAGCTGTTTCAGACTACCTAAAATATACTCGTGGATAGCCTATAGATGTCATTCAGTGACAAGTGCCGAGTCATACCTGCTTTCATTATGTTCAGTCTGTGGTCTGAAAAAATCACAAGTTTTCACGGGCTGTTTGAATGAACATTTTTGCGATAGTATGCCATGAAGTTAATCATTTGAACAGTCGCTCTGGCATGAAACGGCCGCAGACTCTATTAGAGACAACTCTCTTGCGTCTATTCTCCAGTGACAGCTGGTAGCCCATACTGTGCGGTTGGTACTGCAGCTATTGCAACGTAATTGTAACAAGCTCCTATGATCTGTATAAACGATTGTGCAATCAGTGCACACAATAATATAAAATCGTGTTCAACACTGTGTAATGCAACTTTCTTCCCTCGTGGTGTGAACTGTGACAGAAAGAATAAGTTGGAGTGTGGGGATAAGTTAACCGTCGATTTGGCCGATCGAAAGGGGTAAGAACTTGGATTTGAGCAATAGCGGCATACTTCACACACCGGTTGAACGCAATGTGTATAGACGAATAAAAGATAAGTACACGTGTTTGTTAGCCCCTAATTAACGCGCACTATTTTGTAAACTCAGTGTTTTGTTGTGACTACACTACGTCCACAGCGTCTGTCAAGAAAAAAAAAAGGAAAAGAACTCTTGTTGAAGATCATTTACTGACGAAAACTTATTGAGAACTAAGGTACTGCAGTCTTGGTTTACTTCTGTCACGAAGCGAATGTGCAGCTTTGAACTCTTCGAACGGTCCGGAGTGTGACAAATATCCTGTATAGAGCTTTCGAGAACTCCAGGCACGAGAGATCATCGGTGAGGTGTCTTGGATCATTGATGATCGTACATGCAATGACCCAGAGTGTTATGGACAAACGCTGACGTTTTAAAGATCAGCAAGAACTTCAAAGGCTAGTTTTTGCAGTTAGCACCAAATATGTAAATTTTCATCTGCATCTGAACAGGCACTTCGGTGAAGTGTTCAGCTTTCAGTGGCTTAATATTGCTGAACGTTTCAGCGACATTCACCAGATGTTTTTACGCCTCTTGCTGTCATGGGTGCAGTGGCTTGGCATCTCTTCCACAAACGCCGACTTTCTTGAAATGCTGGAGCCTAGTAGGGCCAAGTTTTCAACAAATAAATCGCGGATTTCCTTTTGCGCCGGCTTTAACAAAGTACCGATGCACACCGCACCATCCACAAATCTTCTCGCTACTATTGTTGAAGGAAGAGTGAAGGGAGAAACTATTTTTCTTGAGCATTATCAAACAGCCATTTCGCAACACCCAAAACACTACTCTTACCGCAAGAAGACGCCCGCCAATCGAGCAAACGCGATGAAAAAAAAGTGCACTTGACGACACAACCTTGAAAGTGTCGCGCCATACACCGTGACGTCATAGATTGTGACGACGCAGTAACACTTAACACGTGATTTATACTCAGTGAAAACGAAGTACAATTGTGGGACCTCTGAGCCTTTCTGCTGCGGCGCGGCTCACATCAAGCAAAACACGTCTTGCCAGATGAAAGGCTTTAATGGAACTAAAGAAAGAAAAAGACAAGGGTGAGCCGGCGCTGCCACGAGGCCAAGCGTCAGCTCGTGAAGAGGCTCAATAATGACGATGACTGCTATTCTGCTGCGAGGGATGAATAAAGGAAGTCACAATGACATTCGCCTCTGTCGAGGAAATATACCAATTTTCATCAAATTTCGTGGAGCCAATTTCGCAAAAATACAAAAGTTAGACTGAAATCCAGGGACGTCACGCGCCGAAATTATCACGCGAAACTGAAAAAGAAAAAACAAAATTTAAGCAAAAATCTTTTTTAATGAAAAACGTGTGATAGTGATATTAACGGCATTATACGTATCAGAGTGCAAGTCATCAATCTAAAAATAAGTATTGGTTTACTTTATATAATATGTTATGGTAATATATAACATATTATAATATATATATAATACATACGGAGTTTTACACCCTTAAACCATGATGTGGCTATTAGAGATGCCGTCGCGCAAGACCGTCCTTTAACGTACACCGACGTCGCACAGTTCACGGGCCTCTACGTTTTCGCCTACGTCGAAATGTGACCGCCGCGGTGGCTGGAATCGAACCCGCGACCTTTGGGGAGTGACTGAGCACCCTATAGCCACTGATTCACCGTAACGGAGACATCGGATCACCTTCGGATACATTGCGACGATTAGATGATCGGCCACTCTCTATGCAGATGCTACTGGATTACCGATCCTCGCGTTTCGTCGGCTCAAAAAGCAGTCAAAGCCGTCTTGTGCTTTTTGAGGACTACAGGCCCATGTGAACACCTTTAACTTTTATGTAGCGCCACCGCTGCATACGCGTCAGCCCATTGACTGACAATCCTGTCTTTCTCTTCTCTCTCTCTTCTCTCTCTCTCATCTTTATGCTCCCCTTCCCATTCCCCCAGCGTAGGGTAGCAAACCGGGCATGTGCCTGGTTAACCTCTCTGCCTTCTCTCTTGTTGTTTTGGTCCTCCCTTCAATACTGAGATTCGGAAACTGGAGCTCGTTTCGAAGTTTCGCATGCAGTGTGTAAAGCAACGGGCGAAGCTGAAGACGAGAAATCGATAGTTCAGTAATGTCGAAAGTTGGGCGAGTTGATAACAGTTTGTGTGTCCCTATCGTTCCTTCTGTGCTTGTCGTCGTGCGCTGATTCGTATGTAACCGAGAAATCGATAGGAATTTCGCCCCAAATGGACGCACAGTTGTAAGAACAGGACGCAGCACTAACGTTCTGACTATGCGTTCACCCTCAGCAGTGTAAAAGTTGGTAGAGAACGATTCAAGCATGGGTCCTGTTTGCATTGCTCTGACATAACCCGCGGATCCAATCTTGCGTAACTTGCAGAGCTGTTGGTCTTTGTGTATTTCCTTTCTATCCAGTCAATCCGCCGACTCTTCTACGGATGAACATTTAGCAGCAGCGCTGCGCAATTAATGTTGTTAAATGCAAAGGGCCTTCTTGGCGAACATTTTTTCCTCAATGTGCAAAAATGGAGGACCACAAGAGTTTTAAAGTGGCTGTATATTTTTGACATATAAGAAAAGTTCAGAGTTACAATATGTGGTCGAACCGAGAATATTTCTCTTCTTGGGAAATAATAATAATAAAAAACCTAAAATAAGGTAGGTGGTTGTAAAAAACCTTATTTTTATTTCAGTTCACTCAAAAGTGAAAGCCCTATTGTATATCACGGTTGGCTAATAACGCTATGTTAAAGGCTCCATGAATTGTGTTAAGCCGTTCTTTTTTTTTTCAGAGTAGGTATGTTTTGTTAATGGCATAACCTATACGCCTATAAAAATGATTACATATTTGAATAAATCGTATATAGAGCGCGGAACGTAGGGCAGACAAGGTTTACCTCTGCTCACAAACTACGATGTGGCATGCCGACTTGAGCGAAAGAGAGAGAGTACATCGAGGGGCCCAGTTTTGCACACGATGGCCAAGAAAGCATGGTAACCATTATTTGTACTTCTTAATTGAGATGTAGTAATTATGGCGCAAAGGGAGACGTATGTGGACGCGCGAGTGGCAACCAAGCCTCTAATGTTCGCGTTCTAACTCATGATTCCCAATTGACTCATTTGTACGGCATCAATTTTTTTATCCAGCCGTGATCATACAGGCACACTGTACTATTTTCGAAGCGACGCCGAAATTCGTTCGGGGAGTCCTGGAGCTGCATAGCACCTAATGTTCACCATACGTGTCTTGTAATTGTGAACTGGGAAGAAGGTACTGCTGAGTTCAACGAAAGAAGTGAAATGAACAGCCCATGGCTGGCCATCTAATGTAATCATAACTGTTGGGGTTTAACTTACCAAGACCCCGACATAGTTATGAGAGAAGCCTTAGCGGAGAACTCCGGAAATTTCGACCACGTGGTGTTTTTTTTAACGTGTACATAAATGTAAGTACACGGGCCTTAAACATTTCCGCCTCGATCGGAGAAGCGGCCGCTGTGGCCGAGATTCGATCCCTCGACCTGCCAGTAAGCAGTCCTGGCCATGTAATGCGTGGGACAGATGACCAGTGGCCAGTTATGGCAGAGGAGTGTAGCCCAAGGGACTTAAATGCAAAGATGATTGCAAGGAGTCAGATAGAGTGACGAAATTAATCTAGCGGGTGTAATGTGAAACAGAATGGGCTAGCTGAATATGGAGTGGGTTGGAAAAAATTTGCGTTTTTTTCGTAGTAATATAAGTACGTGTAATGTGCA